AAAAAAGAACCGAAAGCAGCTACAGAAACAAACAAAAAATAACAAATGGAGGCAGCTGAAACGCAACCAAAGCAGCTCAAAGAGATCCGAAAGCTGCTTAAACTGAACCAGAGCCAGCTCAGTTAAAAACAAACCAGGCAGTTTAAAAAGATCTCATTTTACCGGAGACTCTCAGAACTGGTTACGTACTGGCAGCTCATGAGAACTGGAAACAGCTTGTAAAGAGACAACCTCCTTTCTCACTAAGCACATGATCACCAGTCACAACAAATACCTTATATTTAAAAACCTTCTTTCACAGTACGCTGTTTTTAAAAATAATAGTTTTATAAACATGAAAACCGTTTTTAAACGTTGTTTGGCTAACTGTTAGCCTAGCCTGGACAGAGATGTTCGCCCTTCTTCTGTCCCTTCTTGTACTATTGATAACCATTGAAAGAGCATCACTTCAAAAAAAGCCAAACTACTCTACAACTGTTGGCATCAACCTTGTTTGTCTGTTAGCAAAATATATTTTGAGCCACTGGATGGATTTAATGAAACTCGATGACTGGATGTAAATCTACAGCTAATTAAATTTTGGAGTCAACCTGCTCATAATGGCCGCCACAGCTAATGAACTTTAGCTAACAAAAAAATACAACTCTGTATTTTATTTATTTATTTATTTTACAGATATTTGGGGGAATGATGGTGCAGAGGTTAGAGAAGGTGGGTCTGTGATTGGAAGTCGCCGGTTTGACTCCCCGCACTGACAACATCAAAATATGGGTGGGCTAGGTGAAGCACCCACACCTCCCTCCACCCTCATTTGTCCCACCTTGAGCCCTTGAGCAAGGCCCTTAACCCCCACCATCTGCTCCCCTGGGCGCCCTGGATGGCAGCTCTCTGCTCCACACAGAGGGCTGTGGTAGCTCGGTGGTCGTTGGTTGTGTCAGGAAGGACATCCGGAGTTAAAACAATTTACAAGTCTTCATGAGTTAGTTCGCCATGACAACCCCTGAAGAATGGAGCAGCGGGGGGGAAAGAAGAGTACAGTATTTTTTTGCCCTGTAAGTCGTGGTTTTTCGCATAATTTACATCGACTTACACGTCGAAGCAACTTATTCATGGATTTTTTTTCCATATTTATAAACCAACGTTTGGCTGAGATATAACCGTTTTCATTCATTCTGACTGAAAATATTGAACACTACCATTTTCAGCCACTAGATGGCACTCGAGTAGTATGGTATGCCGTTGTATCATGTAATAGGTAAAAGTGGCTATTAATGACACAATTGGCTTGCCATAGTCTGCGACCTTCGTTCAGCTCGCTTGGCACAACCGTCAAATTAGCTTAATTTTGCTGCACCGCTCCGGCGAAATGCAGCTACTTTCACCGTTGAAGTGCATGAAACACACAGCGACTCGTCCGTCTGCACGTGCCCGCTTCCGCGAATCGGGTTTTGAAATGCAGCTGATTTGACCATCAACGTGCATTTATTAAGGAAAAGTTGGACTGAGACACACCTTTGCTGTAATTTGAGCAAACAAATAATTGTTTTTAAGTGTTTATCTAGTTAAATTCTTGTTAAAGTCCTCCCGTGCACGCTCCCGCGGCTGCCAAATCGATTTTTGGCACAACATCGACCCACATTTCCGGGTTGTCAGCGGTGACGCATAATAGAAGCGATGCATTTATGGATTTTTCCACTTTATTAGACATATTTGGACTCATGCGACTTATAGGGCGGTGCGACGTGTACGGCGGAAAATACGGTAAATTTGGTGTGGTAGTAGCTGAGAATCATCCCCAATGTATACTTCAAACACACTAACTGATCACGCAACATCTTTGTTTAAAACTTGACATTCATTCTGACAATAAATGCTGTTTGTTTTCTTTGTTTATAAATTTCTTATCACTTTTTGTAGAACTAATCCTACTTTAATATGTTGCTGTGAATTACTGTCATTCTCCTTTAGCTGATCTCCTTTAGTGGAGGATTTCACTCTTCGCTCGGCGGTGTAGTTGAGTAGGTGCTACATTCCCAGGTGGCATGTGTTGACAGGTCCATCTGGACAAACAAACCCCTTATATAGAGAGGGGTCAAGGTCGGTGCTGTCTGGACCCGACCAGAGCTCAGTTAGCACCGTCGCAGGCGGGACCGGTTGTTTTTGGACTGAGAACCTAGCAGGTAATGCTCGTTTGTCTGTCCGTGGAGGTGGTTGTCTTTTAGCTCTGCTTGTGGTTTCAAACTAAAAGACGAGGGCGAGATTAACAAAACGAGTTATCCTGATGCATGCTCGATAATCCAGGTAGAAAAATGGAACAAGATTAAGTCAGGTCCTCTAGACGGATTAAAAAATAAATCAAAATAATTATTGAAACGTTTAGTCTTTTATCCAAAGGACTTCTTCAGTCTGAGGAGCCGCAGTAAACTCAGTCTTATAAATAGCACCTTCTCATGGTGAATCAACCAGTTTGTTGTTGACATCCAGAACTAGCTGTTCACATGATGATGGAGCACCATCGTTCTAACGACTGATCGTTAGTGCCCTGATGGCCACTTGCTATCCACAGAGGGCTGATTGGTTCTAGCAATAACATTTTAAGAGGGGGACAGTTGAACACGGAGGCTTGTTTTTCTCACAACCGAGCAAAGTCTGACCTCAGACAACAGAACCGTCTCCTGCAGCTTCCTGAGTTATACTTTTAGCAGCTTCATGAGGTTTTTGGCCGACCCAGTCTCCTTTTTGTCCCGGCCTCATCTGTTTTTTACAACATCGATGGATGTTCTCTGCCCCGTCGCTTCCTAAAAAGGCCCGTGTGATTCCTGCGCCCTCGTGTTTATCCAGCACACAACACGGCATCCCGTTATCTTCATCTGACGTTTGGGAGAAGATCAAACTCGATCCCGGCTCTTTCGGGTCTTTCGAGGTTCATGTGAGGACACAGCGGAGGAAAGCCGATTGATGGATGCGTTGCCTCTCTGGGCTGCCGGGAATCAGGAAGTCTGTTAATTTAATGAGAGCGAGGCAGAATAAAGACACATCTGATGCTCAGGGACAGCTCAGAGCCAAGGCTGGAGGTTTTTCCTTTCCGCCCCCTGGAGTCTTGTTTGGATGTGCTCCCATTTTCCCATCATCCCATTAGCAGAGCGTTCCATCAGTCCTCGACCCGTTCTGCAGCTCGGCGTATTTACAGCTTCAGTAAACAGACTCGGTTTGACACAAACAGAACGCCATGCAGAACCAGAGAAACTGCTGAACGCTGAGAGCACAAGGACTGCCGAAACTCTGGGGGAGAAGCTGAACCGGAGTTGAAGCAGAGCACAAAGCAAAAGGAGAATAAAAGAAGCAACTATCAAACAAGATTAGCAAAACCCTAGCTAATTGCTAAATTAGCAACGGTTAACTCAAACAAATAGCTAACAAGAAGCTTAAAGTAGCAAAAGGTTAGGAGGTAAAAGTATGTGAATGGTAGCTAAAATATGCAAAAGGCAAGGTAAAGGTAAAAGTAGCAAAGATGAGCTAAAATCTAAAAGGAGCAACAGGCTAACAAGAAGTTAAAAATAGCAAATGTCAACTAAAAGTAGAAAAATCTTAAATAAAAATAGCATACGGTAAACAAAACTAAAAGGAGAATGGTAGCTAAAAGTAGCAACATGCTAACTAGAAGCTAAAAGTATTAAAAGTTCAAATAAAAGCTAAAGTTTACAGATTTGTGGCTAAAATAAGCAAAAAGGTAGGTAGAAGTTATAAGTAGCTAAAAAAGTTTCTAAACGTCAACTAAAAGTAGCATAATGGTAGCTAAAGGTGTACCACTGGGTAATTAAAAGCTAGTAGTAGCAAATGTTAGCTAAAAGGTAAAAGTAACAGAAGACTAGCTAGAAGCTAATACAGCAAAAGGTTGGCTAAAAGCTAATCATAGCATAAGTAGCCAAACAAAGCCAGTAGCTGAAGATTTTAGAGTACAGTATTTTTTGGAGGAAGTGAAGAGAGTGTATTTGTAAGAGGGAAGTATTTCTAAATAAAGAAAGTATCTAAGAAAACACAAGTCACAGCACGCGTCTCCACGATGAGCCACAACAGCTAAAATAGCACAAAATCTGCAGGAATAAATTACAGAAAACAAGAAATAATAAATAAAAAAAAAAAACAGGAAAACATTTATTGTTAAACCATTTTTTTTACAAGATGTCAAACAAAATAAACTTTAAAATAAATAGTTAATTTCAGATTGGGCTTGTAAAGACCGTTCACGATCTTTGTAAATCCTGTTAAAGTCTTTGTGAGAGCTCAGGGACTGAGTGTGCGGTCTGTTTTTTGTGCTGCTAAAGAAAATGTCTCCTAAATCAGCTTTACGGGCCGAGCAGAACCAGAGGCCCGGCACAGAAACTGGGATTGTTTCGCAGCTACTTTGTGGTGGCCTTGGTGTCGCCTCCGCTCAGATTAGCATATGTTTGCTCTCTGGTTCTTAAAGGGAACAGACCAGTGGCTCATTCTGGTTAATTACAAGCTTTAAACACAAACCAGTTATTGCTCAAACTATGTTAGCCGCACAGTTCAGGATGATTCGGAACAAAAAGGATAAAAATATTAGTTGAAACTTGGACTGTTTAAAGAAAAGAAAGTGATGTCCATGTTCCAGAGTCGTATTCAGGCCAACTATCCATGAATGAATGTAGTGATGTAAAATTAAATGAATTAAACATGAAGTGTGGGCATGGGCTGCATGATGGATTAGTGGTTAGCACTGTTGCCTCACAGCAGAAGCCAGGATCAACTCCCGGATTGGACCTGGGGTCTTTCTGTGGAGTTTGCTTGTTCTCGTGGTTTTTCTCCAGGGTCTTCTCTTTCAGTCCACAGCCTGCACGTTGGGCTCCTGCAGGCCCGGACCTGCCCTTAGAAAGGATCTGCGATCTCAAAGGGATTTGTCTGATTAAAGAAAGATTAATAAATAAATAACGTCCTGAAATGAATTGTTGGCTGTGATTCTCCTGCAGGGCTCTCCAGCAGAGGGCGGCACAACATCAACTCCCAGTAAGTCTCACCATCACTCTCTAAACTTCTGTAAATGTACCAGCGGTCTTATTGTGTTTGTTCAGGATTAAAAGAGAAAACTGGGGCAGTGAGGAGCAAGGATGCCAGCAAAGGGGGGTGAGGGGAGTAGCCACCCCAATTAACAATTGGTGGCCCCCACACTGTGCCTCCCTTATCCAGACAGCTTATATGCAGATTATTTTTTATTAATTTATATGTTGGAGAGGCAAAGCGTCTATAAGTTGGGTAGTGGCAGAGCTTTTCTTAGCTAATTAGTGATATCAACTACAGCGTTTCCCCTGTCGTCACACACAGTAGTCCCTCGCTACTTTGCGGTTCGTTTATCGCAGACTCGCTGTGTCGCGGTTTTTCAAAATAAGATTGGTCATAACACACAACTGGCTGATTGATGGATGAGCCACACGATCAGCATGAAATTTTTTTTTTTAAATAAATTATTTAGCACCTGCTGCACCTCTGTGTAGCCCACACTGCAGGATGATCTTCCTGCTGCAGCTGATCAGCTGTTCACGGTGCAGAGCGGAGAAGTGGGCGTGGCCAAGAGCGCTTGCAGGCGGTTGAGAGCAGCGGAGGCAGGGAGAGGGAAGAGTGTGGGAAGGGTTTAAAATGCCTTAATATATATACAGTATATATATATATATGAATAATAAAATAAACTACTTGTTACTACTTGTACTACTATTCCTATTTTGTGGTTTTTCACTTTGCGCGGGGCTTCAGGGTACGGATCCCCAGCGATAAATGAGGCACTACTGTATATGTATGTGTATATGTTCTGGCTTTTAGTCCTGGTGCCGCCACATTACCACCCAATTAAAATAGTTCTGGGGGCGCCCCTGCTTGGGACATACCGGTCTGTAATGGTAAATGTATTATTCTGTGCTTTTGTGATTGCAGGTCGTGTTAAATCAGGACCTCGAGCTGTCAGCGCCGTCAGGATTACACCGTTAAAAACCATGAAAGGCTCTCCGGACATGATTCCCTCCCCAGGTCTGGTTTTCTTTTTAACTTGTTTCAATCGTTTTAAACGCGTACTGCAGCTCTGTGTCTGTTTTCCCTGCTGACGGTGTGATAATCCTGATTAGGAAGAGATTAATTTCCTGGTCTGGTTTGATGGTACGGGTTAGACTGACTGGTAACTCTGAATTGTCCCTATGAGTGAGAGACTGAATGGTTGTTTGTCTCGTTTGTCTCAATATGTCCTTGTGATGGACTGGAGACCTGTCCAGGGTGTCCCCCACCTCTCACACTGTGACTGGTGGATATGGGCTCCAGTGACCCCCACGACCCAAAAAGGAAGAAGCAAGTAAAGAGGATGGATGGATGGATGGATGGATCTGTTTCAGTAACTTTGTTCATGACTCGAGCAAAACGGTAACTTCCCGTCAGTTGTGGGTCAAGATCACGCTAATAATTGTAGGTGCTGAAGAAATCTGAGTCAGCATTTTCACGTTTTCTCAATCCTGTTTCTACCGTACGGTTTTTTCGTATAAACTACCTCCTTGTACTTTGTGCTGTTTTAACCCTTTATATGTCAAAAAAGTTTTCTCATTGAGAACACAGAGCTTCGGCTTGGTATTTCCATCCATCCACCATCTTTACCTGCTTCTTTGTTTTCGGGTCACGGGGGTTGCTGGTGCTCATGTCCAGCTATCACTGTGCGACAGACGGGGGACACCCTGGACAGGTCTCCAGTCCATCACAGGGACACATAGAGACAAATGAGACAAACAACCATTCACTCTCTCTCACCTAGGGACAATTTACTGTTCCCCATCAGACTAACATGCATGTTTTTGGTCTGTGGGAGGAAACCGGAGCACCCGGAGAAAACCCACGCAGCACGGAGAGAACATGCAAACTCCACCCAGAAAGGTCTCGGGCCGGGATTTGATCCGGCGACCTTCTCACTGAGAGGCAGCAGCTCTACCAGTTGCGCCACTGTTCCACCCCCAACTTAGTATTTATAACGTTTATAATTCATGATTTTTTCAAACTTTATTTAGTGTTTTCCAAATATTTCCCCATAGAAATACATTGAGACTAAATTTCAAACATTGTTCTCTGAAATCTTCTTGCTCAGTTTTTGTCTTCTGAAGCTCCTTTTAGCTTTTAGCTATTATTTTGCTTATTTTAGCATTTAGCTACAATTTTGTGATGTAAGCTAACAGCTGTAATTTTGCTAAATTAGCTAGAGAAATGTCTTTTAGCTATGTTGGATAAAAATATCCTCTATTTATTTTACTTACTCAAAGAAGCCACACTCGAGGACACAAGAAGATTTTTAACCACCTTGGACAGTGTGCGACAATTGTTCGTATAATCTTATCAGCTCTCGGCTCACAGGCAGACACTGATGACCTCGACCACCCAGCTGCACATGCAGGATCAAACCACCTCCCATTCAGCTCTCTCTGAGAGATATAAAAAGAGCTCTCTGGTTTCTCAAACACACGGTTCATGGGCAGTTAACATTCTTAGTCATAGTAGTTAGAAAACATCCATAAACATTGACCCAAGTCCCCTGACAAGCTGCTGTCTTCGAGTCTACATTTGTCTACATTTTACTTTCAGCTAAGGTTCTGCGCCCACACATCCAAACTGCCACCGACTTCCATTGTAACCGAACCGAGAATTTTCTGATTTCAACCTGAAGTGAAAGCTTTAACTTAAAATGAAAACGAACCAGCGTGACAATCCGTTTTTTGAAGCTTAATGTCTACTCTGCCTTTCTGCCTGTCTTATTCAGAGTGTTGTCAGGAAGTGACAGACACGGGCGTGTGGTTGCCATAGTGACCAGGATGTCGGTTTTCTTCACTTGTCTCCTGCAGTTTCTACATCAATCCGTCAGCCATTCTGACAGCTCAGATTACTATAAAATGAAGAAGGAACAACAGATGTTGGAATTTAATCTTTAAATTATGAAGATTCCTGGAAATAATTTTGTGTTTTTGAATGTTTTCAGATCTGGACCCGAGCAGAGTTTGCAAAGGTAAAGGAGTTGTAACTCTAAGGGCGACGCTTGTCCACGTAGTCGACGAGGACTTCGTCAATGAAGAGCCAGTTATCGTGACACCGACATGTGAGTCGAGCCCATTCCACCTCTGGTGATGAGATAATATTTAGTCGGCAGAAATTAAAAAAGCAACACGTCTTTGTGGAATGTGGACAGAAGATGTAAATGTTGCTGTAATTTATTTGGCATTTTATGGTGTGCAGCTGTAAAAATTCCTTGAATGGCGACGTGTGGGGGGGTACAGCAGCTCCATGTTTTACAAGGATCTACAACTAACTGGAACATTAGACCTTATCTGACAATTATTTCATCTAGGAAAACGAGAGTAAAAATACTGCAGGCTGTTTAGTTTTCAACTTGAATGTTTATTTTGCACATTATCTGATTTCTGCCGAATCTTTCATGCGAGTTTGCTCACCGCGACCCTGAAGGAAAGAGCAGCCAAAAGAAACTTACTTTCTTACTATCTGATGTTCAGCCCTTTAACTTGAACCGGAGTGTGTTGGCAGAGACGAGAATAGAGAAATAACTCAGTTTTCGTGTTAGCTCCAGAGATAATATGTATGATGTTAGCTCCAGAGTTGGTATACTGTATATGACGTTAGCTTCAGAACTAATATATATGACGTTTGCTTCAAAGTTAATATATATAATGTTAGCTCCAGAGTTGGTATACTGTATATGATGTTAGCTTCAAAGCTAATATATATCAGGTCTTTCTTGTAAATGAGTCCTCGAGGCTCAATGGGATTTACCTGTCTAAATAAAGGTTGAATATGACGTTAGCTCCAGAGCTGGTATACTGTATATGACGTTAGCTTCAAAGCTAATGTATATGACATTAGCTTCAAAGCTAATATATATGACGTTAGCTTCAAAGCTAATATGTATGAAGTTAGATTTGTAGTTAATATATATGACGTTAGCTCCAGAGTTAGTATACTGTATATGATGTTAGTTTTGGAACTAATATATATGAAGTTAGCTTCGTAGTAAATATATATGACGTTAGCTTCGAAGCTAATATGTATGAAGTTAGATTCGTAGTTAATATATATGATGTTAGTTCCAGAGTTAATATACTGTATATGATGTTAGCTTCGGAGCTAATATATATGAAGTTAGCTTCGTAGTTAATATATATGACGTTAGCTTCGAAGCTAATATGTATGAAGTTAGATTCGTAGTTAATATATATGACGTTAGCTCCAGAGTTAGTATACTGTATAT